TGTGTGTGTGTGTGTGTGTGTGTGTGTGTGTGTGTGTGTGTGTTCACACGTGGGGGGGGGGTGCCAACTAGGCTAAAATACTGTATCGTATCCCCAGAGCTGAAGTTACAGGTGGTTGTGAGCTGTCCAACATAGGCACTAGGAACCAAACTCCGGTCCTCTGAGAAAGCAGCAAGTGCCCTTAACCACTGGGCCAACTTTCCAGCCCCCAAGGGTGACCACTTTCTTAGAAAAGAAAAATAGGATCAAGTACCTCGAAGTCAGGCTAAGGAGGAAGGCTGGCAGACCCACGGATGTGCATTCACAGACATTGCCATTCACACCCTCCCTCTCCCTCCTCCCTTTCTTCCTCCCTCCCTTCCTTCCCTTCCTCCTCCCATCCTTTCGTCCTCCTCCCTTCCTTTCTTCCTTCTTTGACAATGTCTCACTAGCCCAGGCCTCAAACTCACACTCACCTGGCCCCAGCCTCCCAAGTGCTAGGGTATCAGGTGTGTGTTACCAGATTTGTGACTGAGTACAGGAAAGCAGGGACCCTCTCCTATCTTCTCCTGCCTTCTGACAAAGACACAGAGATCTCACATCCCCCCATAAAACTAGATGTTAGGTAAAAAGGTATACAGTTCCTGGGGACTCCTCCAGGCTTCCATGGAGCCAAGAAAAGAACAGTCTCTTTTGGGGGGCAGGCTGTGAGTGCTGAACAAGGTCAATTTGCCAGCCCCCAGCAAACTCCTGCCCTTGAAAACAGTGCTCAGCTTTGCCCCTTAAACTGATCTGCTAAGTAATTTGGACAAATCAGTGTGCTTTTTTCTTTTTCTTCTCATTTGCAAGGGAAGAAATGTATCCAGATGATGCCCATAGATTCCTTCCTCATTAACAATCTCTTCTTGGTGCTTGGAAACAGTCTTTACACATGCTGACACCAAGAGTCTATTTATTCATGTATTTATTTAGCAGCACCGAGGACTGAATCCAGCCCTTCACTCATATTAGGCAAGCACTCTACCACTGTTATAGCCCCAGCCCACAGCGGCTCATTTGTAATTAGAAAAGAATGCTTCTGCAGGTAAATAGATGGAACTGGAAAAATTATACTGTGGCAACCCATCTACAGGAAAATAAACACACGATTCTCCTTCATATGTGGGTCATAAGTGAATATCTCTAAGTTTGTGGGTTCAGTGTAGAGTTGATGTGGAGAACAGGAATCTAGAAAGAGGCCCTTGGGAGGGGATTCCTTAAGAAAGGGTGGGCAGTAGATCTAGTTAATATGAAAGTGAGAGAGGAGATGCCGGAGGTGAAGAAGTTTAAGTAGGAAAGAGGCAGGAGCGTGTGGAGATAAGGGGGCAGCGGGGAGGAACTGCTAGAACAAAGGGGATATGAACGCCTTGGAAACCCCCAGTCTCATAACCAAACTTCTCTAAGTTGGAAGGGAGATATCCTACATGGCTGGGAATAGGCAAAAACGGTGCCACGTATGGGATAACTCCCTAGGGGCCCCCAAAACAATATAAGCTCTTGCCATTCCTCCTGGACGCCCACCAGAACAAGATGATAAGACCCTGCTGCTGAAGATACACCTTGGCTGCATGAAATAAAGAGATCAAGCTGGAACTGATGTGGAGTCCTCTTCCCATGGCAAACTTTCATAGTGCTGAAGGTACTATTCAAGCTGCTGTGGGGAGATAGGGCATCAGCGGTCTTACCAAGCTGAGAACCCTATAAGCTATGATCCTACCAAACTGCGAGGCAAGACAGGCCGACTCATGCAATCATGGCGCAACCGTTACGGAAGTAACCAACCACTTTATGCTCTGATTCGAGACCCACTCCACAGGAGGGAATCCGAACTCAGTATCGAACTCAAGGGGCTAAAGCCCCTTGTCGCAGAAGCTAGAGGTCCTGTGGTTCAGCTGAAATGACGTAGTGTCAAACTACCTTCTAAATGTATATGTTTATACCCATAGACAATTACCACACTCAGCTTTACCTTAATTGGAGAACTCTTTCCAGTGAACTGTGATGGAGGCAAAAATCTATGGCTTGTAGATAAATTTCTAAATGGTCTTATTAAATAAAAAAAAAAACAAACACGGAGCCAAATATAGGGGTGAAAGCCTTAGAGATCAGGGAAATAGTGAGAGCCACCAACCACCTTACCTCACCAGCTCTGTAGCCTCCTAAATACGATGACTTCCTGTCTACCCAGGATTTTATTGCCTTGCTGTCCTGTCCTCTCATTGGCTCTTAGCCCAACTACCTCACTTCCTCGTCATGCCTGTCTGTATAGACCTCCGGGTCTCTATGGCTGGTACTGGGATTAAAGGTGTGTGTCACCACGCTTGGCTCTGTTCCCTAGTATGGCCTTGAACACACAGCGACCCTGCCTGCCACGTGAATGGATTAAGGGCATGTGCTACCGCTGCCTGACTTCTACGTTTACTTAATGGCTTGCTATTTCCTCTGATCTCCAGACAAACTTTATTTATTAACATACAAATAAAATATCACCACATTTCAACACAAATAAATATCTCCACAATGGCTTCACAGGGTGCTGAGAATAAGTGACAGGTGAATGCTCAGCCCCAAATAAGACATTTGTATCATTCGCTCCAAGGCTTAGGGAACATTAAGGAAGAGAGGCAGAAAGACTAGAAGAGACTCAGTATGGGAAGGACTGTGAAATGCCATCTTCTGGGAAGTACATAGTCACTGCAATCATGAACTCTCTCCACAACTAGAGTACCGCACTGGGTCTGCACAAAAACGGGCCATCAACAGCCAGCTGTGGACCGGGGAGGGCTCAGGGGGCTCCACCCCTCACTGCCAAACTATTTCCTACAGACAGATCCAGGGAAAGGGACAATCGCTTCAGGGGTGCATCCACTGGGGACCCCACCAGACTCCAACGCATAGCCCCAACCCACAGAGCACACAGATGGCTCCGGATTTAAAAACAAAAAACAAACAACAACAACAAAAAAAAAAAACAGGCCCTACAACAAAATAAAAAATCATGAACCTAGGAAAAGAACAGGTAGGGAAAAGGGAGGGCTCATAAATGTGGGTGGAAAGTAGAAGAGGCTGAGGGGAGAGGGTAAGCAGGATGCATTATATGCATGTATGAAACTAATGTAAAAATAATAATGTGTGTCTATTGCACACATTTTAGAAAAGAAAATATAAATAAAAAGGAAGGAAATTGCATGTGATTCATTACCTAGAGCCCTTATGAAATGTTCCCTTTGACTCTTGTTTTGAGATTGTTGGGTTTTCCTTCTTATTCACATAACTGCTCTTTAACAAGATGGGGAGCACAAAGCAGGCAGGGATCACAAAGTCTTTTCAGCTTTGCATACTGTTCTTATGCTGTGAGCGTCCCCCAAGTCATCAGAGTCTTTGAAAACACAATCCTCCCCCAAGGGGTGATACCAAGATTCCTTAGGCATTTACTTGTTTTCCTAGTCTAAATGATACCGTCATGAGCATCCTAGCCTAAAGATGCAAGTTACCACCTGCATCTCCATTTCCTCACATCGGTTCTTCTCTGAGGAATTACCAGGTCAGTAAACATGACTCCAAGAGGGCCTGTGCATGTATCACCACATTAATTTCCATAAATCCACCAAGACCCACCGATTTCCCTGAGCAGACTGGAGGGGGGATTGTGAAAGACAGAGGTAGAATGCAGGACCACAGTTTGTCTGTCATTCCTTCTCCATCTTGAAGTTAACTGCCTAGCAAGACAGGAGGCAGAGTTCTGAGCCTTTAGGGCCCGAAGCCTGACTCTGTTTCTGACTCTTACTGGCTCTGGAAACTGAAACCAAGCCCAGGTCCCCTCATCTATGAAATGGATATGATTACTTCTGCTGACTAACCAGAGAAGCCTCTGCACTTCCTGAAAAGATGTCTGTGAACAGCCTTTATAAACACCAAGGCTCTGGGCCAAAGGGCACTACTACTACCCTAGTCTTATCCCAAGAGACTGAGAAGTGGGCTTTTGTTTTTTGTTTGTTTGTTTGTTTCATGTTATGTGTTTCAATTGTTGTTGTTTGGGAAGCCCTGGGGCTTTAAGCTAGCATTGTGCCCCTAGAACTACATGCAACTGGCTCCGATAACGATGGGAAAGCAGCTTTCCGGAGAGAATTAGCTGGGTTCAAGCGCCTGGGAGAACCTAGCAGCATCTTCCAAAGGTCAGAGACGTTTTGGAAGCTGTGAGGCCCGGGGCTGAGCTTAGGGCCTCCCCAGAGGATGCTGGGTGGATGGAGGGACATAACAAACATTCCTGGTGAAGATACATCCATTTCGAAGCTCCCTACCCCTCTTTCTAGGGTTCAGGCCAGATAATTTGTCTTTAGGTGAACTGAAAAACCAAGCTGATTCAGTCGGTGCAAAAGACCCCGCGCTGCAGAAGACCCCGGGAGCACGCCATCAGCTCCTGCCTTTTCAGTCCTGGATCTCTAAGACCCTCTTAGAGCCCTTAGTTGCTTGGAAATGCAACTAGTGCCTCCAGCCGCATCTCCCCAGACCAAGGCAGATACAAAGAAGACCACGGTGACTCTCTGGCGAAGCTCAGCTGGAGAACCTGGGTTTCCCTCCACACTGCCCTATCCACCCCGCAAATGCCTTTCCCACCTCTTCACGCCTAACATCACAGGAGGAGACTCCAGTGACGTTGTCAGGGCAGACAGGCAGAACTGCGCAGACCCCCACCGACCGCCATCCTCCCTCATTTCCACCATCAGCACCCATCAGCTGCTACCCCAGCCCACCTCCACTGCCAGAAGTGCCTCTCCCGCTGTCCAAATGTACACAACAGGTGGCACCTGCTGGTCCTCCCCGACCGCACCTCTGCCCACCTCTCCACCTGCGCCCAGCCCTCCAGCTGAGCCCTGGGCGAAGCCTACCTTTGAGGTTCTGGGGGTGGCCCCGAGACGCGCGATTCGGGTTTCCTCGCTGCAGAGAGGAGACACTGGAGAAGTTGTTACCCATGGCATCGGGACCCCAGGGGTGCTTCAGCGGGGGGCAGGCAAGGTTGGGCAGGAGCCGAGGAAAGGTGTGCAAGTGTGTGCGCGCGCGAGTGCGCGCCTCCGGGGGAGGGCCCTGGCGGGGCTGCGGCCGGGGGCGGGCGGTTCGCTGTCTCCGGCTCTCCCTGGGCTCGGCGGTCTTCTCTCGGCGGGTCCTGCCCGCTGTGGGGATCCTCGCGCCACCCGGCTATCGGGCTCCCA